TGTGTGTGTGTGTGTGTGTGTGTGTGTGTGTGTGTGTGTGTGCGCGCGCGTGCGTGCGTTTGCATACCGCAAGGATAAGGACCCCGCGGTTCGTCAGTTCGACAGTATTTTAAGACTCCACAGTCTTAAAATACTGTGGAACTAACGAACCACGGGGTGCTTGCGGCATGCAAACGCGCGCGCGCACACACTCACACACTCACTCACACACACACGCACACGCACACGCACACACACACACACACACAAGTAGGGTGTGGCGTCTTAAAATACTGTGGAACTGACGAACCACGGGGTCCTTATCCTAGCGGTATGCAAACGCGCTCGCGCGCACACACACACTCACACACACACGCGCGCGCGCGCGCGCATGGGATGCCATTCCGATCAATAAAATTTCATGCCATTCATATTGGAAAGAATTACGACCATAATTTGACAGACAATGAATTGACCTTGTTGCAAATTCGGAATTGAATATCTCGGCACCTAAATATCCCAGTACAAAATTTCAAAAACGATTTGAAAGCTGTGAAATTCTACTTTCGAAATTAAAATTGAAATTGTACGCGACGATTGTTTCAAAATGGCGGATGACTAAAGGAGAGCATGCAAAATTGATAAATAAAGCTTCGAGTTTACGACAGCGCATAGCGTACAGTAGGTATCGCAGCCTAATATGACGAAGAGCCCATGAAAGTATAGAGTGTTAGCTTTAAAATGCTTGTTTACCGAGCTCGATACGATCATGTTTCGCGGAGTTATGCACATTTAAAGAATAAATCGCATTTTTTCTTTAAATGTGCATAACTCCGCGAAAAATGATCGTATCGTGCTCGGGAAACAAGCATTTTAAAGCTAACACTCTATACCTTCATGTGCACTTCGTTACATTACGCTGTGATACCTGATTCACGCCATGCACCGTCACAAACTCGGATGTTCGATTCTCAATTTTGCATCCTCTCACTTTATCATTCGCCATTTTGAAAAAAATAGCCGAGCATAATTGCCATTTAAATATTCTGAAAGAGGACATTTGGAGCTTCATTTTCCATTTTTATATTTATTTTTATCTTCATTATTTACCAAGTTATGACCACTTGAAGTTTGGTAAATTTTTCCCAAATTTTTAGTGTACCGCTTTTTTTGCATCTGAGTGTAGTTAATTTCACTTAATTTGTTTTTCTAATTCTTGATTACTTCACCTTGTTTCTGTTACATGTGCAACGACACTGAACTATGCGAAACTGAACTGTGCGAAAGTGAACTGTGCGAAACTGACATGTGCGAAACTGAACTGTGCGACACTGAACTGTGCGACACTGAACTGTGCGTAAAAGAACTGTCCAATTGAACAATCGCTGATTTAGAAAGATTTATTATTTATAAATTAACAAAATTTCCAAACAGGGCTCTACAGGCATACGCGTGTGTCTGTGTGTTTTAAATTATATTTCGATAACCTGTGTCCAAAAGCAACGGTGTCCAATTGTACGGTGCGCACAAGAACTGTGTCCAAATAAACGGTGCGCAAAAGAACTGTGCGCAAAAGAACTGTGCGCAACATTATGTGTCCAATAGCACTGTGTGCAATTGCATCGTGTCCAATTGTACTGTGCGCAATTGAAGGCTTCTCCGCTCCACCTCTCGCTATTAGATGATGCCCCGCCGTTGCCTGCCGAGTCCGGCCTGCCGCCTTCTACGCTCTCATTCGCTCAGACATGAAAATTAATTTCTCGATAACTATTGCGAATTTTGCAAAATGGTATAGGACTTTTCTATTCAGTTTGCCCCGGTCTATCTGCCATTTACGGGTGATACGGGTATTAGGACACACCCTGTATAATAGGTGCAGTGCTGAGTGAATATTCTGTATTTACCAGCAGTTTGCGTAAAGAACTTGGATCAGATTATAATAAAGAACATTCTGCAATTACAGTTGCAGAAAATTACAAATTTTTTCAGAAGCTATTTACTTATCGATCATGAAGAGTTTTTGGCTTTCTTCGAACCTTGACTGACCAAAAGCTTCAGCTTTTAGATCCTGAATTAGTAACGTTTTATACAAATTATATATTAAAGTAACCTTGCAGCAAAGCATCGAAATTGCAAGTTCTCATCAGGGAAATAGCCGGTGGTTTAATGAACGAAAGAAGAGACTAACAGCTTCAAAAGCTCGCAGTTTATATTCATATTACGCAGATACTAATGGGATAAGAGATATCAAGATTTAAATCATAGCAGTTTTATTAGAAATGAAGATACACTTCGGGGCCTCCGCTGTGAAGATCTTGCAAGAAATGTATATGAAAATATGTTTAAGTACAAGATTGTTCATTCCGGTCTTTTAATTCGACCTGAATTATCTTGGCTTGGTGCTAGTCTGGATGGAATTGCAGTAAATGAAAATGGAACATTTTTGAGAACTGTCAAAATAAAAACTCCTAAGGAAGGAGTACGTTTAACAGCCTCTGAACTTATTGAAATGGAAGTTATTAAAATTTTGGATAAACAGGGACAACTAAAAAAGCAACAGATCATTATGCACAGATACAAATTGGAATGTAAATAAGTGGAATTGATGAATGTGATTATTTAGTTTATTCAGAGAAGAGGAGAGGGGGTAAAGATGGCGAGGAGGAAGGAGGCACAGTGAGAGAGTGAAGTGAGAAAAGTGGCGAAAGGATGGATTGGATCGGAGTAAGAGGAAGGAGGCAGGAGTGATGGAGAGAGGAACGGGAGAGGAATCGGGGGATATGGAGGCGAGAGAAAATAGTGGAAGGCGGAAGAGAAAATGGAGTGAAAAAGGTGAGATGGCATGAGTCGGCAGTCTTGGAGCGAGGAGAGCAGAGGGGAGAGGAGAGCAGAGGAATCGAGAATCGATATAGAGAAGGAAGAGGATTGGCCGGGAGGATCGAGAGATCGAAGGATATGGAAGAAGGGAGCGACAAGCGAGGAGCTATGTCGGAGAGGAGGAAGAGAGACAGAAGAGCTCGGGCTGGACGACGAGATCGAGTAATCGAGAAGTCGGCCACGAGGAAGAGGAGGTGGAAAAGAAAAGTGTTCATGCGTGCAGAAGGAGTAGGAGAGGTGACAGGCAGTGCAGGTGACAAGGCACGTGAAAGTGATAGCGGAAGAAAAGGCGGAGGTGAAAACGGAGGCAGAGATGAAAAGGAGAAGGAAAGGTGAGGGAGGAGACGATAGTAGGGAGAGAGGAGGAGAGGAGACGAGTGAAGGAGAAGTGAGAGAGGCGGGAGTGGAGAGAGTTGTGAGAACGAGAGGTGAGAAGCGGAAGAAGCAGGGTGAACGGAGGAGACGGAGGAGCGGAGAGAGCGGAAGAAAAGGAGGGAGAGAGAGAGAGAGAGAGAGAGAGAGAGAGAGAGAGAGAGAGAGAGAGAGAGAGAGAGAGAGAGAGAGAGAGAGAGAGAGAGAGAGAGAGAGAGAGAGAGAGAGAGAGAGAGAGAGAGAGAG